CGGCCTTTCCAACGTTATTCGTCGTCGTCGTTCCTGCATACTGGTTCTGTGATTTTGTCTTCAGGTTCTGGTCCTTATTGTCCTCTTGAGCAAAAAATTCAGTAAATAATTATCATACTCTCTGTGATTATCCAACCCCGTGCAAAGCGTTGCCAAAAAGCCCAGTAAAAATCAGTTTGTGCGCGAGAATACAGACCCTGAGGATGGGAGTTGTGCTTAGGGCTATCGTTAGGGTTAAGAGGGTTAGTGTTATGGTTGGGGTAAAAGTTGGGACAGCGCCACCTATAGTACAGGGAGGAGGGGGGGGGCGTACTCCTGTGTCCCTATCGAAAATCATCCTAAAAGGGGTCTGAGTCGACTGCGTTGGTTTAGTGATTCATTGTGGCCAATCGGCGTCGAGATGCATGGAAAATTCGAAGCCTAGCTGACCAAAGACTCCGTAGAGTTTTCAGGTAGGTGAACCGCAATCAGCTCAGGGCAGAATCGGCCACGTGCCGAAGTACTTTGTATCGATTCATAGAAAGTAGGACTGGACTCTAAATGCCCGAGAGTTCAGAAGCTGACCTGGACTTCGTCTGTTTACCTTTGTACTTCTATCGCGGCGGCTTAAGCTGTAGGGAGACCCTAGCCGTTACGATCTTCAGGTCCTGCCCCGAATAGAAGGAGAGAAGGTGGGGCGGCAGTTGTGGGGAATGATGCATACTGTACAGGGCTATCGGGGATGAGGTTGGTAGTCGGTGGCAGTCGGAAGAGGGTACGTACGGCGGCGCGCGAGAGCAGCGACCGCGCTCATCCGACAGGGGGACAGTCGTCCAGCCCTTTCAGCGAGGTCATGTCTGAGCCGGCCTCGAAGATGATTGGCCAGTTTGGGCAGGCGGTACCGGCCGAGAACCAGAACGCACTTGGTGCCCATGTGTAACGGACCAGGAATTGCATAGAGTTATTTGAATGTTGTGAACACTTTTAGCAGGGATCCAGGATGGAGAGGGTGCAACCGCGTGTAGGTGAAAATAGCCGGTACTCTTTCCTCTCTATCGCTGCCCCCCCCCCCCGCAAGGCATCGCAACGCTCTCTCGCTCTCTCTACGTTGGCGTCTTCCACGGCTCTCCTCTGAAGTTTCCCACAGCCCACCGGTTGTCTAGCGACATGTTGGCGTCACCTCTCAATCCAGACGGATCATTCTACCTGTTGTAACTTTCATTTATCCCTGTATAATTCATCATCCTCCGATATACCTAATTCCTGGTCTTTAGTATATATATTTCGTACTGTTCAACCTTTCAATTTTCCTTACTCGGATGAAAATGATGATACATTAAAAACTCTCCTCATCTCATTCTTATCCAGGATTAATTTCCAGTGCTTCACTGCCTAGCTGTGTGTTACCCTTGACGTCTTCAGCCGCTACACACGTACAAGTCGTCGCGAGAGGCTCCTCGTTGCAACATGCACCCAGAGATGAGCCACCACACGTCAGTTTCATTTCTGAACTGCCTATGAGGGAATATGCTCATGGAGTTAGAATGAGTTTACTGGCCCGCTAGACACAAATTAGTCGTATGCACACGAACTCGTGAAAGGCGGGCTGTACTTGTGAATAGGTTGCGCAGTGTAGTGGGGTTAAAAGACAGTAAACGTATCTAAAATTACTTCCTACCTTGAGCCATCATAACCACCCATTCTGGACCTTGTCACTCGTTCAAGATGAGAGTTACTGGGGAAATTTCACAATCAAAAGTGTATTTTCTTTGCCGATTTTAGTTCTTGCGTAAAACCGGTCATCGCTCTTAGAGGGAATTTATGATGAGTATACCCCTTACAGTTTTTTAATCGAAAACGACGTCTTTTGGAAAAATTTTTGGAAACAGAAGGTTCTGGTCCTAGTAACTCGTAGTCTTTAAGAAATGCACACCTTCAGCTCCTTAATGTCCTCAATTTTTTGTAAATAGGTGCTTCTTGAAAATAGCTCATATTTCTGGTTATATTACGGTTGGTGTTGGGAGTGCCACGTTCCCAAAACAAGGGCCAGCCAATCACTGGAGGTCACGTGTGTTTTTCTCTAGCGCGCCATCACTATGATCGTGGCGCCTCGCCATTGGCTGCTCCCCTCGTGCCTGATCGATGCGTGTATGCGAGTAATCGATCAGCTCGTCTAGCATTTTTTTTTCGAAGTACACTGCGTCGAGCACAGGCGAACCCCAATAGGGTGTTATCAATACGCGTTACTTTTCCGGTTAGACTTGACTTGCGACTTCCTAATACACTTTTCTGTGACCGCTGGTGTTCTCCTTCTCTGCCGCGTTTGTATTGGGGACAAGAGTCGAGTGCGCATACGCTCCACGTGCTTCCAAGTACCAGGTCGGGTCATAGCAGTTGGACACGGTAATAAGGACTCTCCGTACTACAGCTTGCATTGAGCTATGTTCCTGGGGGTACCTATTTCCACTTCCTAACCTTAACTCTAACCCTAAAACTAACCCCCATAGCCCTAAACCAAATCATAACTTTCCGAACCCTGGCACTGACCCTTCCCCAAATCCTCCATGGAATCTAGCTCATACGCGC